ACCGCGATTTTGTCAAGAAGCCCCCCAAAGGCCCCCAGGAGGCCCAAACAACTGCCAGGTCGCACATTTTCCGGGAAGAATATGGGAGCGGACGACATGCTACCACAGCTGGCGCCAAAAAAAACGCCACTTGCCGAAGACTAAGTTTAAAGGCGTCGGTATGACGCCGGCGAGTTCACGAGCAAAAAAACAAACGGCTGCGTTTGAAAACCGTGTTCTTGTCCACCAAACGCGCGGACAACTCCCGCCAGCGCTTGCGAAGATGCGCCGTCACACAGGACGTCGAGCTCGGGCCGACTTAGGGCTGCTAGACGTCTGACCTGCCCTCGGAATGCCCTGCGCACTCGGAAAACAATAGTTGATTCGACGTTCCATACCCACGCCCAAATTGTGAGCTAATTAAAGTGCCTAGCAAACCCGAATCGCCACGGAAACCGACTTGCAAGAGGCGAACTGGCGCAAAGAACCTTAGCTTCGGGGACAACATGTTAACGCCGAGACCTATCCGTGACAGAAAGCAGGGGAGGAAGAGGGAAGAAAAATACAACTACTTCGCCACACGTACACGCCAGCCCCCACAACGGCGGACAACTCCTTCCCACACAAAAAGGCACACTCGCATAAAACGACCTCCGGCCACGAACGCAGGACAGCCCGGGCGAATCAACGAACGAGGGCCCAAAAGACCACATACGCGAAGAGTTGAAAGAGGGCCCAGGAAACCACGATCACGGCAATGCGAACGTCGCCGATCCGCCCGTGGCCGAGAGTCATTGACATCGGTGGAGCTCAGATGGTGGAGCTCGCCATTGACCTCCACCAGCACGAACCAAACTTGTCCCAGCTGACAAATGAAAAAAAGAAGACACCCATGCAAAATGCCATACTGACGAGTGGGCCGCCAACTTCCAAATCCATGTGTGAGCCAGCGCTCGTCGAGTCCAGAGTGTCCGACGGCCGCCTCGCGCACGACTTGCGCGAGCGCCTCCGCCATGCTGCGTCGCATGAGCCTCCGTGACTTTTGGCAAAGCTGGCCGAATACGCAGCGTAGAGCATCAGCGCTCGCTTGCGGAGCTCGGCGGCCGTCTGCGGGCCGTGCGGGTCGCGGGGAGCCAGGAAGGCGTCGAGAAAATCAGCGAACGGATCACGCGGAAGGCCGAGCTTCCGTCGAGCAGAATCCACCACTATCGGACACGCAGCGTAATGCTGTAGGGAATACTGGTGGTGGCCACATCCGAATGCGCAGGGGCCAGATTCGCCGAATCGACCCCTGGTAACCCAGCCGATGCAGATTGCGCGGACAGTGACAAACCAGACCCTGGCTAGGACGTCCCTAGCAAGACCTCCTAGAAGCCGGACTGCACGATCAACCTGGCGCCCAAGTGGGAAGAGGAAGGGGAAGTGGTCCATGTGCCGGCGCAGTTGACAACTCCCCATAAAAGCATGTGGCCGAATGCCGCCACGAAGCCCTCGAGAGGCATCCGAAAAGACCTTACAAGAAAACTGTGGGGGGGGACGTTTCTTTTCTCCGTTTTGGTGATCGACGTTTGTTGGTCCTGCGAATTGGGCGCCGTTTCTGTTGCGGCTTTAACTGCGGGATCGGCCCGTGGCCCACCAGCCCATTGTCTTGTCAATGCCTCACTGGTATACGACAATGAGATGTTACAATGCTGCCTGCCTGCCTGACGCCCACTTACTGGGGCGTGGTTCTGTCATGCGCTTTAGTCGAGTTGATGGCGAAGGATTGAAAACGGAAACAAAGGGCCCGCAGCGTTTGCAATGACAACTTCATCCACGACCCATTTCGGCCCCAAGAGGGCACCAAAAAGCCGTCGAGCGCCTCCCAGATACCCCCCTCTTCGACACGAACACGCGAAAACATTCCCACTTGCTATGGCCAAACGGGCATGCGGCAACGAAGGCACTGTCAGCAACGCTAGCAAAGGAGGGAGAGAGAAAAAAAGGAGAAGGATACATATATATATATATAGAGAGAGATAAACAAAAAGAAACAAAGAGAAGAGAGCTGGACTGGACCGTGAACGTTGGATTTTCTGTTCAGACTTGTGAGGTTTCATAGTCATGTGATGTTCTGGCATGCGTGGTGTGTATATCATGGCTAAATTTGACATCGATATTCTCGCACCAACGTTCGCTAGAGCTCTACGAAACTCATCGGACACCGAATCCCTGTGATCTGAAAACTCCAAGAGAACGTTCAAGACCCAATCCGAACCCCAAGAGAAAACCGACCCGGCACGAACCGGAACCGCTGAACGTAACAACGGGAAAAGGAAGAACTGGAATCGGAGCTCCGCAAACCGAACCGAACCGAACTGTCTCTTCTTTGACATCTAGCTCGATCTGTGCCTACTGCGGCCGCTCTACTCTATTATGCGAGGCGCTGCGTAGGCAACCGTCTATGCAACGCCAACGTCACTATCAAAGGAGCGTCTGCGAATCCAGACCCAAACATAACATGCCGGTGTTCCCGGCGTTCCCGTAAAGTGGCTCCATCGAGGTCTTTCACACTGCAATTCATAATTCAGTTCGGTTTATACCGCCTGTTCGGGTGTCACCTGTCCAGGGTATCATATTCATTGGGGTTGCTACTGTCCTGTCGGGGAGTCGCCCGTCTCGTTTGGGTCTGCCCCCGTAGCCCTCCTCTCCCTCTGTCTCCGCCCCCAGACTCCTCCACCTCCTTCTGCTCGAGCTCCCTCCCTCCCAAAAGTCAGGCAGGTGTTTCTTCATCACTCTCTACCTTCGTCGTGTCGCCCCCCAATTTCCGATTGACAAGTGCGAAAAGCAAGGAGGCCAGAGAACAGGTGCCAGAGAATGTAGGCTGCCGAGGGTCTCACGCCATGGTGAGGCCCATGAGCAGCCAAGATAATCAATCCTCCGACAGAAGTAATGTGATTCTGGTCCTTCGAAAGCAGCAGCTGTCGTAGCCTGTTTGCTTGAGCGTGTTCGGCTGCCTGGAGATGCCTGCACATTGCGACGACCAGGCCACCGTGAAGCAAGACGAATAGGAGAGGGCAGGGAGACGAGACGGGAGGAACGGGCCAACAGCAAAAGAAGCAACAGCAGGAGGACGACGAGGCTGAGGAAAAGACTAACGGAGACAGCGGGAAGACGGCACCAGTCCGAAAGAGGCCAGAAGTCGGGCACCGGCGCTGCGGTTCGGCCCTGGAGCGCTCCGCCTGTTGAGCGCGCAGGTCTATGTTTGTTCGTTATGGGGTGGCGTCTGGGGTGGTTCGAGGAGGGGGGGGGGGGGGGGGGGGGGGGGGGGGGGGGGGCCCCCAAAGCCCGCTGTTGCGCAGACCTTCTTTGGCACATCACCAGACTTGCCAGATCAAGAGCTACCGCCAGACAACGCTGGACACACGCACGCATGACCCAAACTACAACGGATCCTGGCGGCAGGAAGTCGACTCCGCGAACACACTTCCTTGGCGTAGAATCGTGACTTCGGACTCGACGCGTCTCGCTGCGACAAGCACGTCCGCTCCAAACCAAGACAAATCCGGCGCGAGGATCCCTATGATTGCATATAGTTACAAACGAGTTTCACTTACGCAGATACGTGCCCAAGTATGGGCGAGAGCGCGAGGCTGAGTACGAGCGGGTCCGAATGTACGGGTAAACGTGGGCCTACCCTGGCAGCTCCTCCCTGTGATGCCCAAGTGCCATAACTACTTCACCTGCTGCATCGCGGTGGCCATGGGCCTTGAAAGGGGACTCGTCGCGGGGACCATGGGGGCCCTGAGAAGAAACGCATCCACTTGCCGAAAGTGGCACTTCGCTTAAGGCACCCCCGCGCTCCTGATGCGAACGAGCCCGTGCACCGAGGGTCGGTTCCTACTCGGGTGCCCCACATTTTACGCGAACTAAAAAGGGGGGGCGGCGCCATCGGGCCCTGAAAAGAAACTCGCCCTCTGGGCCCAACACGCGTTTCGCTGGAGACAGAAAGGGCCGTGCAACACCCAGTCAGATCCCTGTAGGGAGGTCCAAATTCACTGCCTGCCAAATCGAGGTGGCCATGAAGCTTTGAAACAGAAACTCGTCCAATGGGCCAGACAAGCGTCTCGCTAGAGACATCCTCCGCAGGCTGGGCGCAAACGGGCCCTTGCAACATCTGACGATCCACTCTTGGGAGGTACACACGTCATGCCTGCCACCTCACGGTGACCATGGGGTTATCAAGAGAGACTCGCCCACTGGGCCAAGCAAGCGATTCGCTCTAGACATCCCCGAAACTTGAGCGAAGACGGGCCCGTGCAACACCCCTGATCGGCTCCCCCTTCGGGTGCCCAGGTGCCATGCCTGCTTCGCAGCGGTGGCCATGGAGCTCTAACATTAAGCTCGTCCAACAGGAAACACAAGCGCTTCGCTCAATATCTCCCCAACATCTGGCAGCGAACTTGCCCATGCAACACCGCTGGTCGACTTTCACGTGGGCGGTCAAAATGCCATGCCGTCTACATCGCGGTGGTCATGAAAATCAGAACGCGAAGTGACATGTGCATGAGGCTTCCGAGTATGACTAAGTCTGGTTATGAAATGGCCTGCCAATGAGTAACCAAGCGTCGTTGATCTTAATGCGAGAAAGTCGGAGTACGAGTGGTTCTGAGTGTGACTGACTTGAGTGTGAGCGGTCTGTGGGTGAAACTATCATTCGCTGAGGATGAACGGGTCTGGGTGTGTGCTGTGGAGTACGTGAGCCTGAGTGCGAGTAGGTCTGAGCGCGAGTAAGTCTGAGGGTGAGTGATCTGAATGCGAGTGGTATCTTTCTTTAACGTGAATGTGAATATGAATGGTTCAGAACGTGGATGGGTATGAGTGTGAGTGGGTCTGGGTACACATGAGTAAGGGTTGGGCAGGCGGGTGGTGACGAGGCGGGGTGTGACACTAAGAGAAAGAGTCTCGTACCTAGGATGGGGAATGACAAGGCAGCGGCGGCAGCAGCAGAAGGACGATTCCCTCATGGGGGAAGTTGCCGATCCTTGTCGTCCTCGCTGCTGCTCGAATCTGGCCTGGCCTTCAAATTTGCGATCCGCCAAACCGTCGAGGCTACTGGTGCGCGAGAGCCCCCCTTCCCTCCCGCCCCCGACGACCTTGCGAGATCCAATCAACCTTCTTCTCCTTTACTGTTCCTGCCCTGTGCCCCTGCATCCCGGACCTCCGATGTCGTGACGCTTATCGGACCATGGGCCCCAGGAACTCTCGAGACGTTCCCCAGGACCAGCTGTTCATCCCAAGTAATGTGTTGACGGTCCAGGGGCCAAGTAAGGGCCTCCGGAGGCGGCCAATGGCCAACAACCTTCCGTCGTGTTTTCGTCATGACGTGAGGAGTCTCGGATCTGCTAGCGCTGCTTCATCACTTCCCTCCCTGGCGTGCTCTTGCGGCGCAGGCCCTGCGAATGCTTTTCTGCATGCTGACGATGTTGACCCGCATTATCTCCTCCTCGCTCTTGGCCTTGGCCCCCTGCAGCTCCGACGCCTCGAGCTGCCTCTTCAGAGTCTGGTTCTCCCTGCCGAGCTCTTTCTTCTCCCTGCCGAGCTGGTTCTTCTGGATGAGCATGTTCTTGGCAGCAGAGATCCGCGCCTCGATGAGCTCCTGCTGCATCTCCGCGATCTCGCTGCTCTTGCCCTCGCGCGCTGCCGCGCACTGTGCCCTCCCGTGCTGCGTCATTTTCAACGTGTGCTCGCCCGCTGGCTGATAAGCACCCCGATCAGCGAAGCTGTCTACCAAAAGCGCCCAGGGAAGGGATCGAACAGGACAGGGCTGTTCAGTAATAGGGGCGTGGGTTCCACAACACCTCCACAAACGAGCTGGTCCGATACAAGACCGTGGAGCGGGGGCCATGTATGAAAATGTCATCGCCTGGGGACGTGATTTCTGTACACCCTCCCCCACAAACAAGCTGGTCCAGCACAAAGCACGCGAGCGGGGGCGGTGGCCATAAATCGGCCCCCGAATTCGGTGGGCGCCAGCTGCGGGGGTCGGGGTTTTTGTTCCTCCCCTAGATCTCGCCGCCGTGACCGAAATGTGTACCGACGCCCATTCTCTCCGCCCGCCCGCCTGGGGGCGAAGACGGCGACATGGAGGAGCAGGGTAAAGAAGGGCAGCAGCGACAGGCGGCACCGGAGAGAGGAAGTACGAAAGGGGAGAAGAGCGCACGAGCTCTCTAGATCGGCACGCTCGCACCCAGCCCTCGGGGAAACGAACAGGTACCCATACAGCTGCTCCCCGGACCTCTCCAGGGCTGCGTTATGATCAGCACTTCGAGACGACCCTTACAAGCCGTGGCGACGAGGGAAGGGTAGCGGTACCGGCACACGCTTCTTTTCTGAGCCCTGGTCCTTGCTCATCGACTCCATCGCCGCCTCCATCCGCTGGATCTCCGCGGACGATTGCATGTTATCCGCCTCCATCCGCTGGATCTCCGCGGAAGATAGCATGTTATCCCTCTTCGCTTCCTCTCTGGACGCGCGAAATTTATGCGGAAACCACGGGTACGATGCCCAACAACAAATGTTGTCCAATAGTTAGCGACAGCGGTCGCTGCTGGGCCAGCCGGCCTTCTGCCTCAAACGGGCAACGTCCGCGCGACACCGACAGCGAGTCCTGTTCAGGATGGGCATGAACTGCTGTCGGTCTTCGTACCCATAATTTCCGTACCCATCCCGACCGTACCGATCCTCCAGCCGCTGCCATAGCGACAGCGACCCGGTGCCCGGTCCGACCTGGAACAGCTCGTCCTCCTCCTGCGACGCCGCGGCCGCGTCGGTCGAGCTCGCGGCCCCTGCCGCGTGGAGCCTCCACGGGCCGGGCGAGAGGAGCCGGGGGGGGGGGGAAGTGAGGGGGACCATAATCTTTTTTCCGTGCCCCCCCCCCGCGGTCACGCCCGTTACCGCCAGGGGATACATAACTTCATCTTGGGGGCGCGCACGAGGGGTGCGCTGCGCGAGGGGTTATTGGGAGGCAAGGAGCTTCATTCGAGCCCTGCTGGCTTCGAGGAGGCCTTTTCAGAAACCTTCCCCGCTTCAGTAAGATGCCATCTCGGAAGCCCCCAGGCCCCTCGGAGAAGGCCCCTGCCTTCCAAGAACCCCCCGCCTTCCTGGAGGGCCATCCACATCGTGCCACCACCTTGTTCGCGCTGCCAGGTGGGCGGAGATGCGGGGGCAGAAAAGGACGGATGCGAGATGGGGGACGGGAGTAAAGGAGAGATGGGGCGAGGGACGGGGGAAGGGACCAATGGGAGAGTGCACGCGCGGCGAACGCGGGGAGCATTCGGGCAGCAGCGGCGGGGGGGCGTAGAGACATGGAACTCAGGGGGGCGGGGGGGGCAAAGGGAGAAGGCTTGGGTGCAGGGGGGGGGGCAGAGAGGGGGGCAGAGAGGCAGGAGTAGAGAGGGGGCATAGGGAAAGGGCAGAGGGGACGGAGACCCGAGGGGACAAGCTCCAGCCCCCCAATGCTTGTGGGGACCAAAGACTGGCGGCTTGTGGGGACCAAAAAAGAGCGGCAGTGGAGAGGGCAGGGCGGCGGGGGGGCAGTGAGGCAGTGGACTCAAAGGCACAGGGGGGGAGGGGAGAGGGCAAGGGACCGTTTCTGTTTAACGTCGCAGCGCGGCAGAAGCAGTCCGCACGCGCGCTTAGGCGGTCCGGGAAACGGAAGCGGAAATTATTCGGTGGCAGGAGGGGGGGAGACAAACGAAAGCGGCCGCGGGGGGGAATGAGGGGAGGGAGGGCAATCACATGGCGAAGTGCATCGCCATGGAGCGGCTGGTGCGGCCATTCAGCGCCGCATCACCTTAGCAATGGGCGCGGGGCGGCGTCACGGCCACACCCAGGGGCTGAAAGCAGGAGCTGCAGCGCGCGAAGTAGCGGAAACACAATGCGGGAGAAGGACACGAAGGCCATGTCGAAGACGTTCCAGTCCAGCGCGGTGCCGATGCAAGCTGCTGGGTGACCGCAAACGCGGCAAAATCAGAGGTGATGGTCGGGGGCCGGCTGAGGGGCGGGCAGAGCTGTCTGCTGATGCTGATTGGCAACGCTGAAGGAACTGATCCAGCCAGCAGCCTGCCAGTAGCGAAGCGGCGCAGCAGAGGGCGGGGGCGCGGTAGCGCGCCCAACCAGCAGAGCCACGGACGGGAGGAGACCAGGGCGAACGGCGGGTGCTCGGAAGTGGCACCGAGGGCGGGTACCGGGGCAGCCGGCCGTGGCTCCAGGTCGCCGTTAGCGAGGCGGCGGGCATGCGCGGCCAAAAGCGACGCGCAGGCCCGGCAGCGGCGAAGCGCCGGGAGAGACGTGCGGCGGAGCCCGCACACAGCCGGCGCACGCAACACAGCTGAGGGCGGGGGGCACCCCGCCCCAGTGGGGCAGGCTCCCCACTGCGAGGGCAACGGGGGGGCAAAGAGGCCAGCGCCAGCCGCCAGCCAGGGGCATAGCAGCAGGCCCAAGCGGCACCCAGCCTGGAGGCGGCAGGCGCGGATGCGCCAGCGCCCCAGGCGCGTGGCAGAGGGGCGCCTCCGGGCACGCGCCACGGGCCGGCTGGCCCAGGGGCATCGCCGACGGAGGCAGGCCCGGGAGACTCACGCGGGCGGCGCGAACGCCACACCAGGGCCGTCCAAGCCGACGGAGGGCGCAGCGTCCCGAAGAAACGGCGGCCGCGGCAGGTGACTCCATCATCAAGGTACTGGTAGAACGAACCTGATCGGTGCACGGACTGGTGGACGGGGCGCCGCCCAGGGAGGGTAGGCGCCGCTGGGGAGGGGAGGCGCAACACCTGGGGTGCATGGCACGCCCCGAGGGGAGAGGGAAGGAGGGCGCACCACCTGGGGTGGATGGCGCGCCCAAACGGAAGCGCCTGACCGGTGCACAAGCAGGTGAGAAATGGGCAAGGCAACTCCTGGGGTGGACGGCGCCGAGCCGTCAACGCTAGCTTAAGGCGTAGACCACGACAAATGATATCGCCCCCCCCCCCCGCATCGCCAACGTCATTTGGCACCCATACTCCGCAATGCCCCGCGTGCCAACGTCCCTTCTGGGTAAACTAATAGTCTGAGCAACAGTGGTATGAGTTATTTGTATGTTAGTTTGTCGGGAGATATCTTGTATCATCCTCCACCTGCTCTCCCACGCATGCTGAGTCGAGAGCCTGCTTAGGCAAGGCGAGAGCTGACGGGGTGATCGAGGATCGAGGTTCGATCGAGGATCGAGGATCTAGATTCGATCAAGGGCTGAGGGTCGAGGCATAATCCGATTGGAATCCGATTGGGATCATACTGTTCATGTTGCAACTCTCTTGGGCTCTCATTGGCAAACGACTGGGCTCATGTTGAATCCTAGAAGGACCTCGGTGGGATCGCGCGCTGAGGGGCCCAGGGGCGGATTGCCACTTTCAGGGGCGATAAGTGCCGTAGCTTAGCCAACAATCGAAAGTCTATACAAGAAGCCCGCTGCAGGCGCAGTATTTTCGTTATGCGGGTGGGTCGCGGGTAGCGCGCGCTTGGGTCGCGGGCGGGTCCCAGGCGAGAGCGACGACAACAACAACAATCATTTTTGGACTGTTCGCTTTCATATGCTCGCGTGTCACTCCACCCAAAGCACTCGATAGCCGCTCCGCCCTCCTCGTCTTGGATCGTACCCCCTTGGGGGTATATCCTCCTTACCTACCACGTGTAATTGGCGCGGCCCATCAAAACAGGGGGAAGGGCGAGTAGGGATGAAGAAGGATGGAGCACGAGAGTGAGTAGCATGAGGGGTGGGTGGGAGCAAGAACGCAAGTGGCAGAACCACTACTACCGCTACTACCACTACTACTACAACTACTACTACTACTACTACTACTACTACTACTACTACTACTACTACTACTACTACTACTACTACTACTACTACTACTACTACTACTACTACTACTACTACTACTACTACTACTACTACTACTACTACTACTACTACTACTACTACTACTACTACTACTACTACTACTACTACTACTACTACTACTACTACTACTACTACTACTACTACTACTACTACTACTACTACTACTACTACTACTACTACTACTACTACTACTACTACTACTACTACTACTTTACTACGACTACTACTACTACTACTACTACTACTACTACTACTACTACTACTACTACTACTACTACTACTACTACTACTACTATACTACTACTACCTACTACTACTACTACTACTACTACTACTACTACTACTACTACTACTACTACTACTACTACTACTACTACTACTACTACTACTACTACTACTACTACTACTACTACTACTACTACTACTACTACTACTACTACTACTACTACTACTACTACTACTACTACTACTACTACTGCTAATACTACTACCATACTACGACTACTACGACTACTACTACGACTACTACTACTACTACTACTACTACTACTACTACCAGTTACGACGACCAGGTACCACATCCAGGTACTACTACCAGGTACTAGTAGTAGTAAGTAGTAGTAGTAGTAGTAGTAGTAGTAGTAGTAGTACTAGTAGTAGTAGTAGTAGTAGTGAGTAGTAGTAGTATATAAGTAGTAGTAGTAGTAGTAGTAGTAGTAGTCGTAGTAGTAGTAGTAGTAGTAGTAAGTAGTAGTATAGTAGACGAGTAATAGTGTAGTAGTCGTAAGGATGTAGTAGTTAGTAGTAGTATAGTAGTAGTATTAGTAGTAGTAGTAGTAGTAGTAGTAGTAGTAGTAGTAGTAGTAGTAGTAGTAGTAGTAGTAGTAGTAGTAGTAGTAGTAGTAGTAGTAGTAGTAGTAGTTATTAGTAGTAGTAGTAGTAGTAGTAGTAGTAGGTAGTAGTAGTAGTAGTAGTAGTAGTAGTAGTAGTAGTAGTAGTAGTAGTAGTAGTAGTAGTAGTAGTAGTAGTAGTAGTAGTAGTAGTAGTAGTAGTAGTAGTAGTAGTAGTAGTAGTAGTAGTAGTAGTAGTAGTAGTAGTAGTAGTAGTAGTAGTAGTAGTAGTAGTAGTAGTAGTAGTAGTAGTAGTAGTAGTAGTAGTAGTAGTAGTAGTAGTAGTAGTAGTTAGTAGTAGTAGTAGTAGTAGTAGTAGTAGTAGTAGTAGTAGTAGTAGTAGTAGTAGTAGTAGTAGTAGTAGTAGTAGTAGTAGTAGTCGTGGTAGTACCACTACCACTACTACGAACGAGTAATGAACTACGACTGCTACTAGTACTACTACTAGTACTACTACTACTACTACTACTACTACTACTACTACTACTACTACTACTACTACTACTACTACTACTACTACTACTACTACGTACTTCTACCACCACGAGGTTGGTGCACCCGGTGGCGAACGGCGGCGCCGAGGACCTCCGCCTCTCATCCGGGGCCCCCGAGACCTTCGCCGAGCACGGGGCCAACGCGAGCGGGGTCGTCGTCGACGCCGCCGCGCTCTGGCTCAAGCTCAGGGCGAGGAGCCCGTGCACCTCCATGAGACCGAGGTCTCGGCACGAGCGAAATGGGCGCGGAAGGAAAGGGCGCAGTGCCCAACAGCAGTGCCTGTGCATTTTGAGCAGGATTCGCTGCCGGTGTCGCCGCGGCCTGCGCCCATTCGAAACAGAAGGCCGCCTGCCCAACAGCGGCCGCTGTTGGTCCGGCACAACAGTCGCTGTTGCGGGGCATTGTGCACGCCCTTTCCGCGCGCATTTCGAGCGCCCAAAAGGCGCGCGCCGCGGGCGCCAAGAAACGCACCGCGAACCTCCGCAGGAAGTTCCGCGAAAAGGCCCATCGAGCAGGACAAGGCAGCCTTCGAGACGGAGAA